ATCTCCTCTTCCTTGGCTCTGGTTGTCAGTGCATATATTTGAATGATAGTGGTATTCACTGGACTTCCTTGTATGTGTATAGATATTATCCTGTCACTGACAATATTGTACTTCAAGATGGATCTAGCAATGACTTTTTTAACTATGAAAGCAACTCCATTTTTCCTCACCTTTTCCTCTCCAGAGTAATATAATGTTAAAAAAATTAATAAAAAATTTAAAAAACGACACTGGATAACCAGTTTGCACTTATCAAATATAAAAAAATTTTAAAGTGTAATGACACACTCTTGGCAAAGCTGGGAAGAAACCAGTCTTTTCTTTCAAATACTGTGGGTAGAAATGCACTGTCCTGTGGGGGTGTAGGGGTGGCGAATCCACGATATCTACCAATCATGGTTCATTTACCCACTGACCCAATCACCTCACTTCTGGGAAGCTAATCCCTTTTGTTCACAAACCTACACATGTGTAACGTTATTCACTGCAGCAGTATTTTAACAACCAGAAGACAAAAACAAGCCAACGTCCACCAATACAGGTATACTGAATAAACTATGGAAGAGCCACAAAATGGAATGCTCTACAGTCACTAAATTAAAAAATTTGAGGGAAAAAAAAAGAGAGAGAATGTCTCAACACTCTTCAGGAGTGATCTCTAGGCTTGTGCAGGGGATCTACTACCTCTCAAGATGCAAGATAGTGTATATGATATGCTGTCTTCATGTATGCAAGGTGGAGTATGTAAGAAAACTATATATTTGGTTACACTTATAAACAGCTTAAAGATGAAATCCAAAACAAGTCCACTGTCATCAAAGTGATTCTGGCTTGTAGTAACTAGGGAACAGACGAGACTTGGAAATATAGGGTTTCCAAATTTTTATGGAAGCAAACTGTCCTCTTTCTCACATGGTGCAGCTGTGGGTTCAAACTTCCAGTTAAAAGGAAGTGCTTTAACCAGTGCACCACAGACAGGGCTCCTTGAAAAGGAGAAGCCACTGAAAGTGGTTCCCTACAGAGGGCAGCACTGGGTAAGGACCGAGGGGGAGGAGACAAGGGTAAAGCAAGTTACCTCTGAATATGCTTTTTGCTTCAACTTTTGGAAACATAACCATATATTTACTGAAAAACTAAAAGGGAAAATAGTTGTCTGGTTATTTTATCTTTTTTCTTTTAGAATTACACCTGTTTTAATTAGTAACCTTTAATTCCTCACCTGGAAATTAAGAATACTGAGTTACTGGTGTCTTTTTATTTTATTGCGTTTTGAGTGAAAGTTTACAAAGCATAGTTTTTTCCTCATTCATGCACATTTTGTTCATACATACAAAGTTTGATCAAATAATACAGTTTATATCTTACTTATATGGTCTTTCCCTAGTTCTTAAGTGGTAGCTTAAGATCTTGGTCAAGCACTTCCTTGCCTCTTCAACAGTAACAAATGATTTTTCACAGTTCTCCTATCTCTGACATTCGGGGATATTGCTGATCCTCTGTGAGGGTCCAGGCCTAGTTCCACCTCTCTTTCATTAAGGGCTGAGTTGCAGGTAGTAAAACAAAGGCAGGGTGCAGCTTTTCTCCATCCCAAGAATGACAATGATCAACTCCAACCATAAGCAAACGCCCTACCTCTTAACATCCAAAGTTAAACTAAAGTCTATGTCCAAGAAATTTAAATTAAGACAGCGAACTAGTGTACGTGATGAGAAATCTTCTACACACAGAGGAAATCGCTTAAGCTCCATATTCTATTAGCAGCTCAGTGACAGTCGAAATTTAATGAGAGCAGCTATTTCTCTGAGTTAAAGCAACAACAACTACAAGACTTCCTACTGAGAAATCATTTGGGAAAGAAGAAATACACAGTGGAAGACTTCAAATACATGGTTGTATTTGATGTACATACTTCACATATGTAATTCTTAGCAGGCAGGCCTGACAGAAAAGCCAGCTACCGAAAACCCCGCGGAACACAGTTCTACTGACCACACAGGGGCCTCAGGAGTTGTAATCAACTTGACAGCAACTGTTTAGGTTTATTTTGTTTTACACATAATTCACACATTTCTCTTTTAGTACCTTTATGGTGTGACTAGCTGTAAGTCTATTTTAATCCCTGATGTGCTATAATTAAAATAGTTCACATACAAGCTCTGTGTTTACTCAATTATGGAATTCTGAAATAAAACTACTCCATGTCTTTAAAGGGGTGCTCTTTACATGAACTGTGTCAGAAAGATTTTCTAAAGACTCCCAACTACCTATAATCTCTTAATGTCTTCAGATTTACTAAAAATTAGCTTTGGTAAGTAAAAAGCAAAATTATCCACTTCTCTGATTTTTTTAAATCAATCTAACATTATAATAACTATCTGAAAATACAATGTCTCCTACACGTGTAATAAAGAAAATGAAAATATTTTTTAAAAATCCCAGAAACAAATATTTTATTGGAAAAAAAAAATTAAGTCTAGTCATTTAATTGTGATCTAATCTGGCACTGACATTGAGTTCTCCCTCCTAGGAAGCAGAGAGAAGAGACGTGTAGAAGAACTAGGTTAAAATTTTCCATAAATATTAAGTCAACAAATATCTAGACTTGAGAAATCAAGAAGAGTAGGATTTATTTAGAAATACAAAGTAAAAATTGACTTTCACAAGACAGGAGTAAGGGCCAAACAAGAGCAAGGCAAGGGAACACTGTTTTGTTTTGTTTTTAAGTATACCTTGCAAAGCTATTTGAATTTTAAAACTATAAAAAACAAGATGAGTTTAACAGACCAGATTTATTCTCACACTTAAACAAACCCAAAGTACATGAAATAAACAGGTTTGAAGCAAACTGAACATTAAACAATGGAGGACAATGTTCTCTGAGACACAAGAAACAAATGTGAGAAGGAGGATTCATTCGTACTGACTTGAGAGTTGCCAAGCTGGCAACAGAGGAAGGGACCCCTGAGATGGGAGTCTGGACAGCACGCAGCATTTAGAGCTCTCAGAACAGAGGACAAAAGAAAACAGAGCTGTAGTTTTGGGAGTTTTTAATTTCAAGATTCAAATATTCACTGCTAATGTTTCCAATCTATACAGACAATATTTTCCTCTTTGTTTTTATTGGTTTTGATATTTTACAATCTTAAGGAAAAAGACATATCTGGAATTTATTTTGGTAAAAAGTGAGGTTCCAACTTTATTTCACCTGGTTGGGGAGCAGGGGCAGATAAACATTTCCCTGCTATGGAGGTATGTGATTTGATGATTCTTTGTCGTTGTCTAGGACTGTTAATATCTATCTTATAGTTTAAAGGAGTAACTTTTCTCCCCGTTTCCATTGTCCTTTTCTATACATTTCCAAAGAAAATAAAAATCATTAGTAATTCCACCAGAGATAATCAGTGCTAAATTTAACACACACACACTTATCGACCAAGTTTCAAAGACCAGGGCATTATGCAAAAATCAGTTATAGGAAAAGAGAGGATCACTACATTAGATTACAAAATAGAGAGTAAACCCATCAGATCACACCACCTAACTGCCAGACCACTGAGAACCCAGCCCTGCAGCTGAACAGCTGACATAGAGCCGTGACCATGCGGCCAGAATCACTGTCGCCGGCCCTTGGTCAGAACTGTGTGTTAAAATGTGCAAAACAGAGTGTACATTTTTTATGGGTCATAAATGTGAAATGTTGAAGATCAAGACAGTCAACACGTGAGGATTAGTGTATATTCAAGCTAATAAATACTAAGAAACAACTATAAGACTTAAGGGATTCTAACCTCCTTTTAAAAACAAAAACGGGTTGTTTATTAGCAAATGAGTTGGAAGTGACCCATAGCTGAGCCTCCCGTGGGTCTTCAATGGCTGTAAATCAGAGGAGATTATCGGGCCTTCTGTGCAGCAGCTGGTGGGCTCGACCCACCCATGTTTGTATTAGTAGCACAATTCCTTTCACTAAGCCAGCTTTCTCACTGATATTACACCAAGACATTTCTTTAATCTACTTTAAGTGCACTTTCTCCATTAATTCTCCAACTTTCTCCTCTTAGTCATGCAAGCCCTAAAATCCTTTCATTAGTATTGAAAAACAAAGGCAAATAACTTAGTGCCTGGACCTCAAAAATCATTATTTGCATTAATAAATCACACTGAAAGGAAAAAGGTAGAATTCTTCATCTATTAAAAAACCCAAACCAAGCCCAACCTCACTGTCACTGACCTGAGATCTACTTGCAGTGATGGAGCAGAACTGCCCACAGGGTTTCTAAGTCTTTGAAGAAATAGACTGCTGTATCTTCTTCTCATGGAGTGGCTGGTGGGTTCAAACCACCAATCTCTTGGTTAGTTGTCAAGCCCTGACCACAGCCCCAGAGACATACAGAGGTATTCAAGTGAATCCTACACCTATCAGGAGCATTTTACCTTCATTATAGGGCACTGGATTACCAAGCTTCATCCCAACTGCTTCAGCTGATTTCAAAATTTCTAACTCCATCAAAATAACTACTCTCCTGCAAAGGCAAACAAACACAAGTAAGTTAAAATAAAAAAAACAATGACCACAAATTCAGAAGCCCTTCAGTCAAATGACAGAGCTATTAAAATGCTTTCTTCAATATCACTTTTCTAAAGCTATTTGCTTTTCTCAAATGTTTTTCATTGCTGAAAAACTTGAGATATCAATTCCTACACAAATATTTCCCTTAAACCTTCCTTCACTGCACTATTATCAAGGCCTTTTATGATTACAGGGTTTCATTTCCCATCTAGTCTCTTAATTAAAATGCATCATCCTTACTATACACTGATCTTCAAGGAACCACTGACATGATAAGAATTTGGATTAAACACAAGCCTTCGTGGCACAGAAAGAGAGCATCTGTTTTTGGAAACATATACTTATCTAAACAATCACTTTTTCCTGTAAAAACCAATTATGCATTATGACAGAAGACATTTTAAAAGCGTAATTATCATGTATCTTTTGGAAGTGGTAGTCTTTGGCCTATCTTAACACTTCCCACTGATCATAGGCCAAAAACTAAAACCTGTGACACGGCTCTGGGTGGCTGGCCTTGAAAACCTCTCCTCACCTCAGCTAACACCAATGGCCATGGCTCTCCACTCTCCAGAGTCCTGCTTTCCCTCAGACCCTGGCTCTTTCTGGCCACAAAGGCTTTTGACTGTGATACTCTTCCCTCAATTTGCCAACATTTAATACTAATTTTTACACTCTTAAACAACACTTCCTCAAGAGGTAATTCCTAAGTCTTTAACTTCTTTGTTATATTGTCTCCTAGTTTAGATTTGTATCCTTCAGAACACTTCAGTCAGTTTTAATGAGATATATATTTCTTCAAACTCATCTCACTGCTGTCAAGTTGGGACTGACTAAGAGCTATCTATCCTTCCAGCAAGTTTCTGAAGCTGCAAACTGCATGGGAGGCAGTTGCCCATCTTTCTCCCTTGGAGCGGCTGGTGGATTTGAACAGCCTGAGAAGTGCAATCCTTGGGTTAGCAGCTCAACTCCCTACAGACTATGACATCTGACCTCCCACGTACACGTCTTAGGTAGAGCTTCTCACCTACTAAATGATAGGCTCAGGTAGGGCACAAATCGTGAAAAGTTTAATATAACAAATTGGTTCAGGGTAGTCACTCAAAACTATTTTACTAAAAAATATTTGATGGCAAATAACATGATAATAGTTGTATTTTTAAAACAAGCCCACAAGAACCAAAATACAACTTTTAAGTATGTCACACCTGAATACAAAACTAACTCAAGAACAGATTTAGCAGTCATGAAATCAAAAGATGTGTTGCAAATCTGTTGTCAAGGACCTCTTTAAAGAGTGAAAGGGCAAAGATGACAATTTTAAGGGATCAAGGCACTCTTGGCTCAAGACATGGTATTTTCAATTTCTTGGTAAGAATGTGAAAGTTGAGCAATAAGGAGGACTAAATAACAATCAATTGCAGTTTGGTGAAGAGTATTGAATATAACATGGACCTCCAAAAGAATGAACAGATAGATCCATCTTGGAATAGTGCTCCTTAGAAGCAAAGATGATAAAACTTCATCTCATGTACTTTAGGGATGTTGTTCAAAGCTGCCAGTCCTTGGAAGAAGACATCATCTTGGGAACAGTCAGAGGGTCCCCAGAAGCGAGGAAGATCCTCAATGACATGGACTCACAGAAGGGACTCCAACCAGGGGTCTGAGCCTGGAAGGACAGTGAGGACAGGCGAGGAACGAGCCGCGTTTTGACCTGTTGCTCACAGTGGTTGCTATGAGTGATAGTCAACTCAAAGGACCCTAACAACAATAACTAATTCTTCTTCATTTTGTTATATTCTATAAATAGTCTGAGAGTGGCATTTTAGAGTTTTGCACATAAATCTAAAATATCAGTCTATGCTACTCTTTCATCAGTTTTTCATAGCAGGGTTAAGTTACTTCAAGAAAATTATCTTGAAGTTATCTGTTCTTAAAAACCAAAGATTGTCTTCATAAAAACTATATGGCAGGAATTTATTTCTTTTTTAAAACCTGGCAGGAATTTATGTGTCACTGAGTCAATTCTGACTCAGAGTAACCACACAGGACAGAGGGGAAATATCAGATAGAGTTTTCTAGGCTGACATCTCCACAGATGTACACTGCATGGTCTTTTCCTCTGCAGAGTAGTTAATGGGTTCAAACTGCAAACCTTATGATTAGCAGGCATGCTAATCACTGTACCACCAGCATTCCTCAACAGATACTTAGTGGTGGATATTTAACAACCTTCCAAAGTTACCCAAATTACTCCAGAACACGTAAGAACAAGGCTTATAAATCTTTCAGCATTACCCCAATATCAAAACCTAAGGGAAGACGCACAGATACACAAAATCAAAACTAATCTCGGCTTGTAATACATATACATACATCTTAAATAAAACATTAGCAAGATGAATCCAACAGCACATTAAAATACCCCAACACTGATTTTCAGAAAATACAAATAAACATGTTAAAGGACAATGACACAAATGCAATCAGCAAAACCCAGACTTTGTAAAGACGTAAAATAAATAAATAAATAAATTGAGCCATTTAAAAAACAGTTAAGGAGAAAAAGATATAGAGATGGAATTATACAGTTTCAAAGACACTTAACACAGTGCCCCAAATGACAGTAATACATCGAAGGGGGGGGGGGGAAGTGTCAATTTAAAACTGCGTGGCAATGTGTTAAAAAAATCATGAATGAACTGTGGTGTAAATTTTCCTATGAATCTGAATTTGGGTAAATCATTGTGATACAGACCACGAAGCAATCATACAATGGATCACGGAAACTCCATATGGTTCAGAAGTAAAGAAAGGAACGCGCCAGGGATATGTCCTTTCTCCATATCTTTTCAATCTATACGCAGAACAGATCATTTGGGAGGCTGGGCTGTATGAAGAAGAATGTGGCATCACAATTGGAGAAAGACTCATGAACCTACATTATACAGGTGAAACAACCTTGCTTGCTGAAACTGAGGAAGACTGAAGCCTTTGCTGCAGAAGGTCAAGGACTACAGCTTTCAATAGGGATTGGAGCTCAACATCAAGAAGACAAAGATTCTCGCCACTGGGCCAAATGGCAGCATTATGACAGATGGAAAAGAGATTGAGGTTGTTTACAATTTCATCTTGTTCAGATCTAAAATCATCACTCTAAGCATCAGCAGTTAGGAAATCAAAAGATGAGTTGTATTGGAAAAGTCTTCTGTTAGACCTCTCCACAGTGCCAACAAGCAACAATATCAGTCTAGAAACTAAGGTGCACCTGAGCCAAGCCATGGTCTTAATTACTTGCTATGCATCTGAAAGCGGGACAATGACTAAGAGTAACAGAAGAAGAACTGATGCCTATAAATTGTGGTGCTGGAGAACAGCACTGAATATCCCATAGATTGCTAAGAGAACAGAGAGGGTCAAACCAGGTTGCTCCTTGGAAGCAAGGATTTTGAAGCTCTGTCTTAACACTTTGGGCATGTTGCCAGGAGGGACTAATCATGCTTGGAAAGATGGAGGATCAGTGTAGGAAAGGAAGATCCTGAATGAGATGGACTGACATAGCGACTGATGGGGGCAGGTGTGTCAGAGAAAGTGGGACAAGCTTCAAGCTAGGGCAGGCTTCAGAGTTATTGTTCATAGGGTTGCTATGAGTCATAGCCCTCAACAGTGCATAGCAACAATAACAGCAATAACAACAAATATTTGTATATCCATATGCATATCTCAAAACACAAATACATGCCTGCTGCTGTTGAGGAGACTGAGATCCACAGCAACCCTAAAGGAGAGAGGAGAACTGTCTCCCAGGGTTAACACATCTTTCTCCCCTGGTGTGACTCATGGGTTCAGACCACCAACTATTAAAGCAGCTGGGCGCTTTAACCACTGCACCACCAAGATGCCCACATATACCCTCAAATATCTAGATTTGATGAATGTGTGAATAATTAAAAATTAAACAATGATTGGTCAGTTGACATGATGAGATACATGACAATACATAATATTTTCCCTTATAGTCTACTTTTGTACATTTTAAAGTAACCAGAATTTAAAAAATCAAATTTTTTTCAAAAGATAGAAAGAAGGAAAAAAACGGAGAGAAATAGAGTAAGAAAAATATTTTAAACGCTGGATTTATTATAAGAATACAATTTGTGGAAGCTCTCGTAGCCTAGTGGAAAGAAGCTGTGCTGCAATCCCAAAGGCACGCAGTTTGAATCCACCAGAAGCTCCGCTGGAGGAGGAGGAAAAAAATCTCTTCTTGTGCCAGTCAGATCAAATGCGACGGTACACAACAAGGGGGGAAAATAATGAATAAAAAAATTTTTTTAAAAAGAATATAATTTGTGGGAGCTCTGATGGCCTAGTGGCAGGAAGCTGCACTGCAATCCCAGAGGTGCAAGGTTCAAATCCACCAGATGCTCTGCTGGAGAAGGAGGTTCAACCTCCTCCAGTACCAGTCAGATCTGATTTGATGGTACACACACAAAGATAATAAAAAAGTAATTTTTTTTAAAAAAAGAAAAACAAAGAACTCATGAATTATTATACAAAAAGGGTGACCATGGAGGACATTATGCTGAGTGAAATATCTCAGTCACAAAAAGACAAATATGACATAATGCCACTGTTATAAAACAGGACTGACATGGGTGCTAGAGAGAAACTAAGAAAAGAGGGGCTAAATAATCTATACGTTATTGAAACAGACAAGGGAAGGAACTGTATAAAAGGAATATATGATTAGGTATTATTGGCATGACAAGAGTCCAGAATAAGAGCTACATAGGTAAAGTGGTCTTCAGAGGCCGGGGGGAGACACACTGTATAACAATGAAAGATTGGAAACCCAAGTTCTTTATAAACTTTCATTAAAATCTCAGTTAAAAAAACTTAACAGAAAAATCTAAAAAAGTTCCTGAAGATAATAAAGTTCATGTATTTGCATGA